ACTAACATAATAACCACATCTGGTTCTGCTTAATATCGTAAATCTTCCATCCACTTAACAACACTTTCAAAAGTCTTTTCTTTTGTTACATCATAAACAACTAAAGCTCCTCCTGCTTTTCGAAAATGACTGAATTAAATTTATTCTAATACGTGCTTGTAATTCCTCTGTACCTTTCTTATCCAGCTGTATCCCAAATTTATGCTTTAACTTTTTTGCCATTCTATAAAGTGACTGTCTTTCCAGCAAATTCAATCCCTATTGTTGGTACTGCATTTTTTGGTAAACAACCTTTAACATATCTGTTATTGTATAAAATAAATTACCTGGTCATTAAATGTGTTTTACCTACTCCAGCATCACCTACTAACACAACTAATCTAATTTTCACACTTTATTACCTTTAAAGAAGTCAGAGTAATCCTCATTATTCTAATTGTCCATTATTCCAAATTCAAAATATTATTAATATAAATACTCAATTATTAATCAAGAATTCGTTACCTTTTTAATCAATCGATAATCAACTTATTATCTACTTTTTAAATTACTCAATTCTTTCCAATACTATTAATTCAAATTTTATAGATCAATTACTATTATTATTAACATTTATAGTTAAAAGAGTCTTTAATGCTATTGTAAAACAATATATTATCTATACAATTGTCATAATTATATATGATTTATTATTTATTCCTCTTAAGGGATGGCTAATATAATAACAATCTATTAATAATTTCAATTCTATAATTTATTTTCTTTCAAAATTCCTAATTTCTTTAATCAATTCTTATCTAACAAATACACTCCTTAGATCTTAGATATATTCATTATACTTAATGTATAAATGCTTTTCTAAATTATCTCTTTTTTTTGAGTTTTTTAACACTTCATAACTACATTTATGATTAGAAATCATATGAAACTATTAATATATCTAAGATTAAATTTATTATAATTTTACACACATACTATCCAAAAGTGAAAAGATTAAATACAATTTGAAGAATATGCTTGAAATTCTGTAAAAATTTAGAATTGACTATAATATAATTATATTATCAAATTTGAAAAATGTGGCTAATTTAAAAATTAATATTTAATGATTAAAGATCAAATATATCCAAAAGGAAGTATAAAAATAACTTTACTAAAGGAACTTTCATAAATACTAACGATAAACATAATATGATAGATTTATTAATTGTAGTATTTTTTGAGATTTAAAAAAAATTCTTGGGCTATTTTAATTTAATCTCTTTCAGTTTTATTAAGTCTTAACTAAATAAAAAATATAAAGTCTAAACTAAATAATGAAATAAAATAAAATAATGTATCTAAATAATGTAATTTTAATATAATTGATGGAATAATTTACTTTCATTATGAGTTTAAAACTAAACTATCTATTTTATTGGATTAATTTTTGATAATCTTCTTTCTTTGAAAAATAATAATCGTTATAAATTAGAATGAGAGAGTTTAAATAGTTAAATATAAAATATATTTTACTAATTAAGATGGGATAGATATGTAAATAACCTTCAACTCCTGAATTGAATTAAAATAGTGATGATAATAATATAAAATAGATGACTTAATAAGCTGAAATTGAACATTATGAGGAAGAAATTAAAATAAGTGAGCAGAATTATTCTTTCTTACCTAGTCATTAAATATCGATGCAACTGTCATGTACACCTGAATTTGGTATGCCTCCACAATAAATAAAATTATTTTCACAACAAGATAGTCAATACACTCCTGAATTTTTAGCAATAAGTTAACCTTTTTAATAATAAATGAATATATATTAATAATAATTTTGAAGCATCTTACATGATCATGAAGGGTTTTTTTCGGAAATTAAATTTATGAACTTTGATGTTGAAAGTAAATTTGCTAAATAAGTGCTAGAACAAATTGAATAAGAATAGGAAGTTAAGATGTAGTTAAGAGGTTGTAAAAGTAGAAAGATTGATATCTAATGTTATATGATAAGGTGATATATATTTGATTATTATTTTATTGATAATTTGTATGATAATATACCTACCCCTGTTTTACACTTTATTCTTATGTGTAATCAGGCTCGACTTTATCATTAATAATTGATATAAGCTAGAGTGATAACTATAATATCAATTTATGATATAACAGTTGTTATGATAGCTTTTTATCATAATTTAATTATTTAAATATAAATGGGTGCAACATGTAGTAATACTTGCTGTACTAATGATCAAGAAATCAATAGTAAAGGTGGAAATGATAAATAAGAGGTTGTACTATCAAAAAATAAATCATTAAAAGAAAGTCAACATAGAAATAATAAAGAAACTGAAAGATTCAACGCAGATAATGACTAAGGCAAATCTGATGCTAGTATAAGTAGTGTAAAGAAAGAGAATTAATTAATCTAGAGTACAATAGGCAAAATGTACAGAGTCTAATTAGAAGGTACTAAAGAATTAAGTTCATATAGAAATTACATTTTCAGATGGAACTATATATAAAGGTGAATGGATGAATGGATTTAAGGATGGATAAGGAGTTCTTAAATGGCCTTCAGGAAGTATATATACAGGATCTTTTGTTGAAGGTAAACTTAATGGGAAAGGAAAACTTATTTTAGAAGATGAAGATTATTATGAAGGAGAATGGAAGGATGATAAATGTAATGGATTTGGTGTATATGTATGCAAAAATGGAGCACGTTATGAAGGAAACGTATCAATATTTGACATATAAATAAGTGGAAAAATGATAAGTAACATGGAAAAGGTAAAGAAATATGGTTAGACGGAAATTCATATGAAGGATTCTACAATGATGGAAAAAAACATGGTTAAGGAATATTAAAATTTTAAAATGGCTCAACTTATGAAGGAGATTTTTATAATAATGAATTAGAAGGATAAGGTACTATGGTTTGGGTAGATAAAAGAGTATATAAAGGATAATGGAAAAAGTCTAAAATGAATGGATATGGTGTATTAACATTTCCAGATGGAAGAGTTTTTAAAGGAGTATTTAAATTAATTTAACATTTAAATAGCATTTTTAAGATGATAAAAAGAATGGTGTAGGTGAATTTACTTGGAATGATGGTAAAAAGTTATTATCAAGTTGGGATAATGGTAAATAGATATACTAATTAGGCAAGTAAAATGGGATTGGTATTTGTACAAATGGTGATCGGAAAATAGGATATTGGGAAGAAGGAAAAAGAACCAAATGGCTTGATGAATAAGAAAAGAAATTACATACCGAATCAATTTAAAAATTAGAACTAGTAAAATTTATATGATATCTACTTCATTTCTTTATAAACTAATCAAATTTTTAGGCTGTTGATAATGGTTATTCTATTTTATTTAATGAATTTGATCTTAAAGATTATTAAGTTTTTGGTTTATCACATCCTTAATTTTGTCGATTACTTTCAAAAGCTGTACGTGGTAGATTTTAATTATAAATTTCATTTCTTCCCAATAATTAATATTCAGGAGTCAAAGGATTGGTACCTCTTTGATTGAGTAAGCCTTTTCTTAAAGTGCCAACCTAAGCTCCAGGTACATCTTTAGTATCATTAATAACTCTAAATTATTATCTTTTTTATCTCATTAGAAAATGATCACTGATAGCTCCTACATGACAACCTTCTATATCATTAGTTTCTAAATTTTTAGTATTAAAGTTCATTTAAGGATGTAAGACCCTGCTTTTACTTCCATTAACAAATCCATATTTTAAATTAGCTGGTTAACCTTCAACATCTTTTAATTAATATTCAGGTTCTAATGGATTAGTTACACGAGATGATTTAAAGACTCTGTATTCATTAATATCTTTAACATCCATAATTTCCATATGATCTCTAGGCATAAATGCAGGTTTTGATTTTGCTCCATCAACTTCATCAAAAATATGTACAGTTTTTCTTAATTTTGCTGCAGGAGGATTTGGTTTTGTTCCTGGAATATCCTTTTCATAATAATTCTCTATACATCAATATTTATTTAATCTCTAATAAATTTTGGTTGCAAAGGTTCTACAGGTACAGCTTTTGGTAAAACATATACAGGATCTACTGGATTTGTCGGAGGTCTAGTTGTTTAAAATTTGTTTAATTAAGGATATGCACCTTTGATATCACGATTATTTAGAGAGAATCCCTTTTTAATTAATATTATTTTATACATCTCTTCCAATTTAAGGAATCAATACCTTTGAACGTGTACCTGCAATATCATTTGTTGTATTTGTAAAGTCTGGTTTATTTGTAAATTTATATGGCTTCATACATGGTTAAGCACCTACTTTGAAAATTCAGTTACCATCTATGTCTTTTGTTTAGAGATTAAAATCTTATCCAGTTAATTTATCAGGTCTAACTGTCCCTACATCTCGTTTATCTAAAATTATACTCCACAGTTTATACTTATTGATGATAAATACATCAAATCTTTCCTACTTGGGAATGGCCAATCGTAAGGATCACTCATATATAAATATTATTAATTCTTAATGTATTATTTTATTCTAATCAAAATTATTATTCACATCTCAAATGATCATTTAATCATTATTACTATTCATATCATTAATTCAATATTTTTATTTATAGATATATTAACCACTCTAAATTAATTTGATGTTTTTCATTCTTATGATGATTTTTTTATAATAACCTGTAAATTAATTTCTTTAGGTACATCAATATAAAGAATTTTCATTTGAATAATCTTCGGTAATTTAAACATTTATCAAGAAACTATATTAAAAATTAACATCGATATTCAAGTTTAATTATATAATATATTTTTATTATTCCTAAATTGTTTTTCGAAATCAAAGTACATTGAAAAACAGAGAGAAGTAAAATAAAAGATTAAAATCAAATATTCAAATGGATCCTGAATTAAAGAAGATATGTTCATTTAAAAACTTTTGGGCATATTGAAGAAGTATTTTAGGTGATAATACACTTCCAGAATTAATCTGATTATTGACTTCTTTATTACTTAAATATTGATTCCAAATATATTTAGTGATTAATACAATTTAAGGAGTAAAGAGAAACTTTAATTAAAATCATAAATCAAAACTATTGATTATTGCATACTATCAAAATTTAAATGAAATGATTATATTTTATAATTCAAAAATAGAAGAAATATTTTGGTTTACCTTTTCAAGAACTAAGGAAGTAATTCAAGGTGTATTATTTAGAATTTTTTTCGATTATAATTATGGACTAAAACTTTAGAGTAATAATATAAATAGATTCCTAAATTCAATCTAGGATATTAAATAAGTGTATTCTTTCAATTTTGGAATTCATCTAGCTTCAAATATTGTTTTTTTTAAAAGAATGAGAAGAAATTGGATTAATTATCTCTAATTAATCAATTCATAAAAAATCAAATATCGACTCCTTTTTTATAAATGAAAAATTTAAATCTATGAATTATGAATATTTGTCAATAGGTTAGATATTAGTTTAAAAGAACTTATTATTTAATTTTATCAGGTAATTATGTTGTATTGTGCGATAAATAATAATTATGATGATAACTGTTTTATTTTATTATTATTATTAAATTTAACATTTTTATAATGAAAGTATTTTATTAAAAATCAAGTCAACATCAACTATGGGATATTATGAATTATGAATAGTTCATCTAATAAACACAGAATGTATTTTAGTTATCAAAAGGTACTTACACTATCAAATCAAAAAGTAATAATTAACAAATTAGAACAACTAAAGATTTATAATTACATGGATCATAAGCAGGAATTATTATAGAACCGTAATATTTTGATTATTTATTATCAGTCATCAATAAAGTTTATTTTCAGTATTAGGTGTTCATTTACCAGAAAACAATAATCCTTAATCTCATAGAATTGTCAAATAAAAGATTCCAACACTTAAAAAGTAACTTAAAACTGAACACGATGGAGTTGAAAGTTTTAAGAAAATACTCCATATTGGAAATAGTAATTTAAGCAATGATTGGAAATAAATAATTACAAGAATCAAAGATCTTTAAACTGAATCATATTACTTTAAAAATCATATGTAAGAAAATTTTGGCACTTTTTAAGAAGAAATTGAGGCGTATTTATTATAATTAAATTTAGATTAATTGATGAAGCAAACTAATTGTAATTATAATAGTAATAAGTATTTTAGTAAAATTCTGAATTATTATAAAAAATAGAATCAACAAAAAAAGAAATTATTGAATAATAACTACAATATGATACTCTAAAAAATTAATTTAAATAGGAGAATATTGAATATTTCATTTAATCTAAATAACAACAAAATAGAAATTAAATTAAAATATTTAAGTACATTGATGAATTTGATTCCTTTTTAAATGAAAATAAATTTATTTTAGCATATGGAGCTAATTTAGATATCAGAAAGAAATTACAATATTTTAAAAATAAATATTTATAATTAAGTAAATGAGATTATTACAATATATTTATATATATAATAATTTAAATTAATGGGAGTAACATAATCTAGTTAAAATGAACATTTAGAAAAGTATTTGGGATAAGACTTTCCAGATGGAGAAATTTTAATTGGATTTGAAAATGTATCAATTAATCATATATTAGCCAAGTAATATATGTTATTCAAATGTTATATTGTAAGCATTGTATTATTGCAAAGACTTTAGAAATGGCATTTTATAATATTAAAGCTTAAATTAAAACAATTTATTAGATTTGACTAAGTTATTATTCCTATCAATATCAAACTATAAATAAAAGACAGGAGTAATTTCGACTAAGAAAATGATGAATTATATTAAAACAAAAAATAAAATTTTTGATGGGAAATATCATTAAGATTCACATGAATTTTATATGTGGTTTATTAATGAATGTGAAGAATTATTAAAGGATAAATAAAATAATTGGATTCGATAAATATTTTAAGGATAGTAATTAACATAAATAGAATGTTTAAATTGTCATACAAGTAATATAAAATATTAAAGTTAGTTTCTTAAAGAGAAGAAATGTATTGTAATTTGTCTTTAGATTTAATTCCTAATTATAGTTTGAATACATGTTTATAATAAATGTCAAAAGAAGAACAATTGACAGGTTAAAATTAATTCTTTTGTGATAAATGTTAATCTAAATAAGATGCATGTAAAAGGTATTAATATTAAAATAAAAAAAAGGTTATTATTGAATACATTACCAAATGTGTTAGTGATACATCTAAAAAGATTTAAATATGATGAAAGATATGGTTAAATGATGAAAGTGTCAACAAAAATACCATTCTCATAATAATTAAGAATCAAAGCATAAAAACATACTAAAACATATGAATTAACTACTATAATAATTCATTTAGGATAAGGGATATTGTATGGACATTATATATGTATTACTAAAATATAAGGAAAATGGTTTAAATTTGATGATGATAAAATATCTGTAATTTAAAATTAAAATATTCTTAGTTATTTGTTGATTAAGATTTACATTATATTTTTGGAAGAAGTTATCCAACACAAACTTAAACATGTGCATATATGTTGTTTTATAATGCATAATGAATTTTATTTAGATATATAAATTTAAATTGCTTACTTTTTTTCAAGTTTAATTTACTCTAAAACAAATAAATATTTTAGTGTTAAAGATTGTAATAAGAAACTTCTTCAGATATTATTGTATACTTTTTTTTTATTATTTATTAAATGAACAAAAATCATAATTTTGAGTAGGTCTGCTAAGATATCTGCATTTATCGTGAAGTAGTAGAAAGTCATAAAAAACCAATTTAAAGGCTAATTAGCAAAACAAATATAAAAAAAGACAAACTAATGAAGAAGTTTGCATCACAAATAATAAGAAGCGAATAAAGAATTAAATCTGCTTTTTAAATTGAAATGTAAATGGTTATAGTTATATAGATTTCAATAATAATAATAATTAAATGATAAGTGTGTAGAAAAGATGTCTTCTGAATTAGTTTTATCTAAGCCTTAAAAGAACTTATCTATAGATTTAACTAAAAAGTATTAAAATATAATATAGTAGATGGCATTTAGATTTATCAGACTTAACTGATAAAGGTGTAAGAGATTTAAGTGATGGTTTATCAAAACTGTCAAGTTTAGAATAGTTAAATTTAGCTTTGTGTGGGTAATAAATTATGTTATATATTATTAGTTGGGGTTATTGGAATTAAAATATCACTGATAAATCATTATAATATATAACCAATGCTTTAATATTACAAAATCAATTAAATGAATTTAATCTTGATTTAAATATGTGGGGCTATGAAAATAGTAGTATAACTGATGAAGGAGCAAAGAATTTAATGGATGGAATAAGTTTATTAAGTAATTTAGGAAAATTAGAATTAAATTTAAAAGGTTGGGGTGATGGAAATTAAGATATCACTGATAATACTATATTAGGGTTATCAAGATGTCTTAATAAACTTGGTAATTTAACAGAAGTTAAATTAGTATTGTAAATTATTCATTTATTATTAGATGGTAAAATATTGGAAAATAAGCAATTAAATAATTAAATAAAACTCTATCTAAAATGGAGAATTTAACTAAAATTGATGTTAAATATGAAAGGTATTCCATTATTTAATATTGTTCTAGTTGTGCCCAGTAATAGCCAATTTAAAATAATAATATTGATATCAAACTCTAATAAATAAAAGTTAATGCTATTTAAAAAAGAAGACTACTTTTCTAAGTTGAAGGAGTTATGATCAATCTTGAATCTTTAATTAATAAAAGGACACTTTGGGATATTATTTTAAAATTATGATTACAACAAATAAGATATATTTATATCTAATACTGATCTAAAGTTTATTTCTTTTCAATTCATTCTATTTTTATGGTTGAGAAAAATAAATATTCAATTCAAATTAAAATTATATGAAATTTTATAAATATCATAAATCCCTGTTAAATTTATAAATAAAATCACATTAATTATTCTAAAAATTGAGCTAACAATGGAGATATACATTTTATTTCATCTATGTTTTAATATATTTTTTATTAATCACTCTTATTATTAGCAGTCATTCCCATTTTGTTACAAATCATAGAGAATATATTACTTTTATGACTTTTTAATTATAATTAAAATTATTAATTAGAATAAATTTGTAATAGAGTACTTGGAAATAGAGTATATATTTATTTATGTGACATTTGTACTAAACTTTAAATCCAATTCAAAATTCCTTCTTCAAATATTACAAATATTTTCTAAATTGTAGTATTATCAAATTATTATATATTCAATGCTGTTTAACCAAGTAAAGTGTGAAATACACAATACTTTGTTAATTCTGATTAGTCTAATCCATATTAACCTTTAATATCTTTAATATATATTTATACCATCATAATATTTATCTATTATTGTTTAAATTGTAGGCTTTATAGATTTTAGCAATATTTAGTTTTTACAAAGTGTATAATCTAAATAAAAACAAATTCTATCAATTTCATTTGTTTCTTTCATTTAAAATATAACTGAACTATTACTAAGTTACTATTCATAACGAGGATTTTATCTAATTAAATTTATTAATTCTTAATCATGATTATTTGGTCTTTAAGTAATTTAATTATTATTATTAGCTGTTACTTTTATGATTTTATTTAATAAAGAATTAGCTATTATTTTATGTTAACCTTTTGCTATATATTCTAATTAATCTAAATAAGATTAGGACAATGTTTATAAAAAAAATGGTTATACTTAGTTCAATAAGTTTAAGCATATTTCTTAACCTTTAACATTTTATAATTGCTATGCAATATTTAGTATTGCAAATATATCTTCTATTTCATCTTTAGTCAGTGGATCATTAGATTAACGATTATTTAAATTATTTAGTTATCTTCTTAATAATTCATTCTCCCATTCCTTTAAATTAAACTCATCTATATTCTCTTAATATAATTCTAATTTTGAAGGGAAATTCTCTTTCAAAATACATAAACAATCCCAAATCAGTTCAATAGCTTATTGTAAATCATCATTTCCAGTAATACGATAATATATTGTGTTTAAGTAAATAGGGTTTTTTGGTAACCAAAATACTGAGTTTTGGATTTTGAATTTCAAAATATTATCAGAATTTTAAATTACTAATTCTTCTTTATGCACATACATTAATTATTCTATTTCAGTTAATGCTCTAATGTATCTATCTCTAGGTACTTGATCATGCACAATTAATCCTAAGAAAATACTCATATAATTTAAAAAAAATAATTTTAATCAATTTGTTACTCATTATAACCTAATTATATATAATATTATTAGAGAAAATATCCCTACCTTATACTAATTAAGTTAAATTTACATGAATTATTGGATTTATTGTTTCATATAGCATATAAAGATTGTATTCATAAATTTTATTATTATTATATTCTAGTATTTGAAATGGATCTCAATTTACGATTCATAGGAGAAGTTCTTAACTTTGTTAGTCTAATTTCACTATTCATTAAGCCTGGTATTTGAGTAGTTTTTGTAAATATATTATAAGTTTACTTTGTATTTTCTATTTCAACTTATTATTGCCTTATTCTATCATTTAGACTTTTTGTTATATCCCATTAAACTTATAACTCCTTTTACAATTTATCACATTATATTTTATATTATTGAATAGATTATTTTTGCTCTTTTGATTCTGTTCTTAATTCTTAATTATTTTTTAATAATTATTAATACTACTAATTTAATTATTCACCTTAACTTGTTGATGAATTTAATTAGGATATGATATCATTTAATTTTTTAGAATGATTTTTTTCTAACTACTCTAATAATTACTGTTATGTTATCTATAGAATATTGAAATTAGATTCAGTTATTTTTTTTTATTTATATTGTTCTTCCTTGTTTAACTATAATTATTCAGATAAATAAATAATAATTTATTCTTTTTCTTAAATTGAATTATCCAATTTCTCTATTTTTTAATTAAACTCCTTTAATTCAGTTTTATATTTATCAATTTCAAATGATAATTGCTATTATAAAAGATTGATTTTATAATTATGTTCTGATTGTATTTTTTCTTTCTAGTTTTCAAATTCTTATTAGATTTTATTTAGCTACAATTTACATTCATACTGTGTCTCTTTTACTTTTTGATCTATTTATTAAGATAAACTTTATTGAAGTTTATGAAATTTAACTTAAATATCAGCATTTTATTGACTTTTTTCTAAGATTAAATTTTATTGCTATTTTATTTATTATTCTAAACCATTTATATATTGTATCTACACTTCATCATCATATTATGAAAAGAAATCTTAAGTAAGTTATTATTATTGTTCTACTTCTATTGTTATAGAATTTCCAAGTAGTTTTTCATATTTAACTTTTTGAATCAATATTTATTTTACATAATTTTATTATTAATTAGTGATAAATATATCTTTGTATTCTATTTCTTTTTTTAATGATGCAATTTAAGAATTATATTGATTAATATCTAAGATATGCTTTTACATTAGATTTTAATTTTAATCTTATAATTATTATAATTGTTCTTTTAATCTTTATTAACGTTTTTCTTCAATTAAAATTTTATTTTACAATTGATTATTTATCTCTTATAGTTCTAATTACTATTTATTTTCTTTTGCTTTATTTTTTCTTTCATTAGCTAATTCTTCTATATATTATTTAATTTTTTAATTTTATTAATCCAATTATTTTTCAAGATTATCTTTTTGCTATTTTTATTATTTAATTTATTGTGTTTACTTTTGATGCTTCTCTTATAATTATTAATTTTCTAAATAATATTTTTTATATTTTTATTCAATTATATTAGTTTAATTATCTATTTCTTCTTTGAAAATTTTTCTTTCTTTTTCATGATTATGCAAAATAGCTTAAATTTCAAACTGATGTTATTATTTTATTGAGATAATATCATATTCTAATTATGTTACTCGTTGTTTTAACTATTATTATTACTTTTGCATAATCTCTTCTGTTTGTAGAATTTAGTCTTGCAACTTTAACTTATTAATATCTAATTAATTCTATAAATCTTTCACTTATTAATTTAATGTAACTATTACATTATCTTTTTCCATAATTTTTTATTATTATTATTCAGACAAATAAAGTTTATCATTTTCTGATTGCATTTTCATTTGCTCTTATTTTTCTTTTAATTTTTCAAATTGAGCTTCTAAAATTTTTGTATTATTTTTCAAAGTGTTAATAAGATTTTTCCATCTTTCAATATTTTCTTAAATAATAATAAAAACATTTGACATATCTGTAATTAAAGCTTTTTGTTTAAAGTCTTAATCAAGCTCATTTATTAAAATATCTAAATTATCTTCAACCAAAAATTTTATTTAATGGACCTTATCTTTTAATTCAGAATTTTCCTTAACTAAACCAGGTCCATCGAGATTTTTTTTAACAAAACTAAATGATCTTATTCTTTGGCTCATAAAATTATTATTAAAATTAAAAAAAATCTCATTAATATTATTTATGAAATTCTAACTTATCATCTTATGCTCAATGATTTATTTTGAATAAGTCTTTAATCAAAAATTATTAACACTCTTGTTATACTCAAATTTAGAGTTTAACTTTATAGATTTTTATCAATGAATTTTATAAAACTACACAATAAGAAAATACATAAATTACTAACTTCTAAACATCTTAGACAAATTGAGAATTTAATTCTCTATGTCAATTTTAATTGATATATTATTAAACTTATATAAATATTATGTATTAAAATCAAATTTAATTAAACCACATGATATGTACTTCTTTAAATTATTATACAATAGCGTCTCCTAATTTCTCTACTTTTTTAGAAATAGAGATATTATATTATTTTGGTTAATGGATTCTTTAAATTATAAAATGATTTTAATCATAATTAATAATTTAATAAAACCTTAATTAGAGAGATTTTATGAATAGTACAAAATATTTAAAAATTACAAGAAGAAAAAATAGTTAATAATTTAAATAAAATCATAAAAAATAAATTTGATATTTTTATTTATAAATTCGCATCAATTTATTTTCATGTAAGACACTGCTCTTCAAAAACTAAATCCTTCTTAGTAATATTTATGAGCTTAGACAAAATGATTGCTTAGTTCTTACAATAAACTATCATATTAACCAAAATAAGAATCTATTAAATTCAAATAATCTTTTTCTAAATCAATTATGCTTCTATAATAATTTTCAATTATTGGGAGAGTACTCAATTCTTATCCAAATATATAAAGTATTTTTTAATTCCATATTGTATTATTTCCTGACTGAAATTTTCTTACATTTCATCCATTACATAGTTAATGATATTATAAATTTAAATTTATAATGATGTGTTTTAGATTAAAATTTTCTTTTTGAAAATAATTCTTATAAACGATAAAAATTCTAAACAAATTAACAAATAATTAATTGAATAATTGTTCTTCTTCAACTCATAACTGATAAAATAAAGATTTCTCATATAAACACATATCTAGAGTTTATTTTTAAAGTTATTAAAATTATAGAAAAACAATTTTTTGAAGAGTTCTTGATATAAATGAAATATATCACCATATTTTTGAGTAAATTCTTATATTTATGCAAAAAATAAATTCCATTTGTTAGCCTTTGCATTTTATTATTAATAAAATTACAAATGATTCAGAATATAATTATCTAATGTTTTCTACATTAAATATCTTTTTTCTTTAAAAAAATATCAAAATTCATATAACTTATCCGTCGAATTTAATTAATCTTGGTTTATTTAAGACAAAAAGCTTTGTAATTTTTTTAAATTTAATCTTATTTGTTATCATGTAATTATTCTGTATAAACACTTTCCTTCTTTTGGTATAATATTAATAAGAATTTTCATGTTTAAAGAGTGAATTTCTTTTTTTTAAGTATCAAAAGAACTATAAATTGCTTTTAACTAAAAATTTAATTGTTATTTATAATAAATTAAATGACAATAATAAAAAGAGTAATTAATATTATAATGGATATTTTTAAGCCATTAAATTAGAATTTGTATAATTTTAAATGATCAAAATATATTATTGAAATAGTCTGTGGATATATAAATTCTTATAAGAAAATCATGTAGAATTAGATATAATAAATTTATTTTTTTTGTTTAATTTTAAGTTTTTGTTTTATGGAAGCAGAGCTTGAACCACCAACTCCTTATTCAGCAAGATTATCAGAAATTTCTTTGTCTGACAGCAAAATTGATGATTATCATTAAGTAAATAGAATAGAAAGTAACAATGACTTTGCTTCATATTTTGCATTGACAAGATTAACTAAAAAAATTTAAGGTAGAAATTAAAAAATAATTTAAGATTCCTATATAATGAGCAATGATCCAAAAGCATAATATGTTAAAAAAATATATTCAAAACTTAAATGGATACGAAAATTATGTGTAGCAATATACATTTTGATGACGATTTTTTAGAAACCTATTTGGTGTAACCCAAGATAGTATTCTGTATTATATTTATTTGAAATAGAATGATTGTTAATATAATTTTGAATAAGATTATGGGATACCATCCTTTTTAACTTTTTATATACCTGTATTGTGTTATTATATAATTGAAATAATTTTGATATTACTTATGTTTTCATTCAAGGCTGCAAAATACTATTAGCTTTAACTTATACCACTAGAAAGAAAAGTTGTAGCATATTGCTTTGTAGGAATTGGTGTTTTAATAATAATAAATGATATCGTTGTAATGTCTTTTGACAATGATTATTCATATAATATTTCAACTTTACTTAAACCTATTTTTTTGATCTTTTACAGGTACATAAAAATTGTAATATTTTTAAAGTTAGTATTTTTTGGGAATCATTGAAGATTATGCATTAATTATTTATAAAGGAAAAGAGATTTATTTTATGCTGATATTTTCTTATGTATTTTTTGTTGGTTTGGGAACAGCTATTTTTAGAAATTAATCAGATATGTCAGATATTATATAAGATGAAGGTATTTGTGATTATACTGGCCTTCCTTTTAGTTAAAAGAATTATTGCACATTTCTTATTATGTTTTAATTATAAACTACTGTAAATTCACCAGATATTTATTTACCTTATTATGGAAAAGTAAGTCTGGCAGTAGTTTATTTCATTTTATATTAATTTATAAATACAGTTTTAATAATTAATCTTATCCTTTCTTTATTCTATTCATAATACAAAAAATTAGTAGAGGAAAGAACTATAATGCTACTTGAAAAACATCGAAATAAAATAAATTAGTTTACTAATAAAGCATTATAAAAATAAAGATAAAATTCAATTAATAGTATATCTAATAGTAAATAGTAATAAAATAGAACAAATACACAGATAATGATCAAAAGTATTTTAGATAATTGGTTATTTAAGTCAATTATGTAAATATTGTGTATAGCAGATTTTTGTTTTATTTTTTAGGATAATACTGATAGAGATATATAAGTTGTTAATTTAAGTTTAAATGCAGTAATGTTAATTGAATCTATTATTATTGCCATTTTAAGAGGTTTAAGTAGAATATAAAATTATCCAAGTGTAATATTTGATTTTATAATCTCTTTGATTTTGGTGATTCTTATTCTTGCAATCATGACAGTTTAAAAAGACAGTCCAACTTAAGATATATTAATTAGGATATGCTGTTCTATAATGAGTTTAAGACTCTTTAGAGGATGCTCTTGGTTATTAAAATCTAAAAACTTTGAAAATATCTTATTTAAAATATTCTCTATATCTTCCTATCTACTATAACTATTTGGAACATTAATTATTTCAATAACTATTTTTAATGCTATTGGATAATTAATATTTGGAGGAAAGATTAATTATAATAGATAACATATGAATAATTACTAATGGGTTAACTTTAATGATTTTTTATCTGGATTTTGTACTTGCTGGTTTTTATTAATTGTAAACAATTGGAATTAGATGTCATACGATTTTTCATTAAGTCTTGAAAGTGATTCTATTTATATATTTTTTGTCCTCTATTACATAATTGTATTTCTATTAGCATAAAGTGTTACTATAGCATTGTTAATAGAATATTTGGTTACTCATGTCAAAGATTTAGGTTAAGTATAAGAGGATGAAACATAATCAGAAATACCACTTAAAGAAGATAATCAAAATGAGTTATATGTACCATTACAAAATAACTAAAAGGCTTAATGAATTATGTATTTTATGTTAAATGCAAAATTTTAATATATCTATATATACTTAATTTATTATGTTAGAAGAAATCAAACCCCATGTTAAATTATCTTAATCTATATTTATTTTTAAAATTGTGGATTCCTGTTTTATCCTTTATAGAATTTCATAACTTGATTAAAAATTCTAAAAAAATTATTAGAAAAATAACTCTAAATGAATTATTTAAAAGATTCGTATACATCAGACTCAGGGGACATTGTTTTTGTAGCAACAAAATCAGAATTTGATGCATCATAACAAAAAATAGCTTACTTAGAAAAAGTTTTGAAAGTATATAATAATATGAAATAATCAAAAAGGAATTAGAATCTAACAACTAAACATTAAAGAAGAATAATATATAAAAAGATAAAGATTACTAATTATTAATTGAAGATCTTGATAAACTTAGTAATTTATATTAGTATTCTAGGAAAAATAATTCAAGAAAAATTTACATAAAGAGAAACATTTAAGCTTCAAAAATAATTTAAAAATATGGAAGAAAAAATATTAGAATAGGAGAGATAGATTAAGTTATTAAATGAATAAAATAAGATTCTTAGTGATGAAAATTTACAATTATAGAATCTAAAAAATGATCTTTTAAATAAAAATTCTGAAATTGCTGAAGAAAAAGAGAACTTTTTTGTAAATTTAATATTTCTATTATAGAAATCTTATTGTTCTAACAAGAGTTAATTATAAGAATTGGGTTAACAAAAAATCATATATGAAGATGAATTAAATAAATATAAAAAATAAATTTAAAGATTGGAAGAAGAAAATGAAACACTTAAATAAGAAAAAAGTAACAAATTATTAAATAATTTAAAATAGTTGAGTAAGAACAATAAATACTGTAATAGAGACGATTGTCTTTTTAATATTAAATAGAAGCTGAAAAGAAATAAGAGATATTAAAGTAAAATTAATTAATTAAAGACTAACCTAATTAAGATGAATGTAAAAGAAAAATAAATTAAAGTTTAATAAGTAAAAAAAGAATTTTATCATTTTAGCAATTCAAGAAGAAATTATTGGCAGAATTTAGACTATAGAAAAAGAATTGAAAAATAATTAAAATAAAAAAACCTTAGAGAGAGAGGGAATAGTTCGAATTTTAAACCAATACTTTAATTTTTATTTAAGATTACCATTAGAAAAACATGATATTACATTTAAACATGACTTTAGAGATAATTAAATTGCTGATTGAAATCATATATTCATCAATAGTAATAAATAATTAATAATTATTCTTTTTTTCTTAAAATGTAGAATTTAATTTCTCTTTTTTAAGGGCCCAATATGTTTCCTCCTATGAATTAATAGGTAGTATAATACAGAAGAACAGTGAGAGTAATACATATGTTTATGAATACAAGAATTTATAATAAAATGCACGAAATAAGATTTTAGAATTGAACATAATTTCTAAATCATGGATTCGTTAATGGAAACAATATCTACAGTATGATGAAAACCAATAATATTAATTTAATTAAGGTAACTAAAAAGTAAGTAAACATATTTATTTAAAAGCCTGGACCTGTTAATTCTGATTTAAAATCCGATGAAGTTTTTCTATTCAATTATCCAAATAAAAATCCTTTAAATTAAAAAATAGTAAAATTAGATCCAGAAGATTATGTTTTGGTAAGTAATTTATTTAAATAGTAGGTTGGAAATGATTTGATGAATATGTGGCATTTAGAATTTGGATCTGATTTAATTATAAATAGATAAATCACTTTTAACGAAAAGTCTTAACCTATTTCAAATGTAAATTTAAGAAGAGTATTTATTAAATACATATAATAGCAAGAAGTATATTTAAAAGTTTAAAATTCTATTCGAGGTATAATTTAAGTAGATGAAGAATATTAAATTAAATAGTGGATTGAATTAATAAAATAAGCAATTAAATGCGAATATTAATTGGATTGTGAGAATATAAGATTGTGGAAGCATAAACACTATGCTGCTAATTTAGCTATTAAGCAAATAGAATAATATAATGGTAAATTTAATGGATAAATATTGGATGAATTATTAAAAGTAAAAGAATATTAAGCTGACTTAATTATTATTGATATTTAATAGAATGGATAATGGCAATATGAATAGTTAGATTTGAAAGTAAAATTAGATTTTATAATAATAGACTTCTTGTTAAGAAGAATTTAAATATTTATTCGTTAAAGCTTATAAAGGATGTGGTAGATTTTATTGTGATAAAAATTATTGTAATGATAATCCCAATTTTGCTTAATTTCAATTTGAAAAAGCTAGTTTATAATAATTTCTCATTGAATCATTTAAAGAAGATAGTATTGATTGGAAAGAAGTTTGTTGGAATACTGATTAAGAATTAAAACCAATTTAANCTATGAATTAATAGGTAGTATAATACAGAAGAACAGTGAGAGTAATACATATGTTTATGAATACAAGAATTTATAATAAAATGCACGAAATAAGATTTTAGAATTGAACATAATTTCTAAATCATGGATTCGTTAATGGAAACAATATCTACAGTATGATGAAAACCAATAATATTAATTTAATTAAGGTAACTAAAAAGTAAGTAAACATATTTATTTAAAAGCCTGGACCTGTTAATTCTGATTTAAAATCCGATGAAGTTTTTCTATTCAATTATCCAAATAAAAATCCTTTAAATTAAAAAATAGTAAAATTAGATCCAGAAGATTATGTTTTGGTAAGTAATTTATTTAAATAGTAGGTTGGAAATGATTTGATGAATATGTGGCATTTAGAATTTGGATCTGATTTAATTATAAATAGATAAATCACTTTTAACGAAAAGTCTTAACCTATTTCAAATGTAAATTTAAGAAGAGTATTTATTAAATACATATAATAGCAAGAAGTATATTTAAAAGTTTAAAATTCTATTCGAGGTATAATTTAAGTAGATGAAGAATATTAAATTAAATAGTGGATTGAATTAATAAAATAAGCAATTAAATGCGAATATTAATTGGATTGTGAGAATATAAGATTGTGGAAGCATAAACACTATGCTGCTAATTTAGCTATTAAGCAAATAGAATAATATAATGGTAAATTTAATGGATAAATATTGGATGAATTATTAAAAGTAAAAGAATATTAAGCTGACTTAATTATTATTGATATTTAATAGAATGGATAATGGCAATATGAATAGTTAGATTTGAAAGTAAAATTAGATTTTATAATAATAGACTTCTTGTTAAGAAGAATTTAAATATTTATTCGTTAAAGCTTATAAAGGATGTGGTAGATTTTATTGTGATAAAAATTATTGTAATGATAATCCCAATTTTGCTTAATTTCAATTTGAAAAAGCTAGTTTATAATAATTTCTCATTGAATCATTTAAAGAAGATAGTATTGATTGGAAAGAAGTTTGTTGGAATACTGATTAAGAATTAAAACCAATTTAAGAAATTAAAGAGGATTTTATAAAATAAATAAATGAATTGACAAATTATCCAAATAGTTTTGGAGCTTCATTCATTTAAGATTTTAATGGTTCTTATGAATCAATATTTATAAATAATAGCAATCCTAGATTGAATATAGTTATATTAAATGAATTAAATAAGTTCATTGATTTTCATATATTAAAAGATTGGATAAAAAATCTTTATAGATCTAAATAGACGAGTTCATTAAAATTGAGATCAATATTAATGATTTTACATTTTAGTTGTTTTAATTAAATTTTCAATGAATAAAAATCAAACAATTTATTTGACTTTGTATCAGGTTTAGATAAAGAAAGTAAAAATTAGTTATCTATATATTTAACTTTTCTTCCAACATAATAATTTAATAGTATAATTGAAAACTTAACTAAAAATTTGTCTAAATTTATTAAAAAATAATCACAATAAGCAATTTAATTGTTATATAAAGAAGACATTTAATATTTAAAAAATCAACTTGAATTGTTATAAATATTTTACTATTCTAATGAGAAGCAGAAAAGAATGAATAATGATAAATTTATAATGAAAGAAGTTATAAAATTTTATCCATAACAAGGTGATTTATAAGAATATAAATAATTTGCAAGTTATAACAAAAAATAGTATGAAAATTATTATTTTACATTTTGTCAATATCCATGGATAATTCCAATAGAATTTAAATATTAAATATTAACTTTGGATTCAAGATTTAATTAAAGAAATTAAGGAGGAGATTTTTTTTTTTAACAAATAGGAGTTTTTCCGACTAAATAATTGTTAATAGATAGAAATGATATAGTGAATAGTGCATTAGAATAACTATCAAAGCCAGAATTAAATTTAAAGTCTAAACTATTAATAGTATTTAAAGGAGAAGAAGGAATAGATTAAGGAGGTTTAACAAGAGAGTTTTTTTCATTATTAACTTAAAAACTTTTTGATATTTAATTTACAATGTTTGTTCCAAGATGTAATAATACAGTAATATGGTTCAATAAATATCACTTAGAGATGCCTATAAAGTTTGAATTAATTGGAATGCTATTAGGATTGGCTCTTTATAATTAAGGTAAATTAATTATTAATGTTATTAGTATTGTTAGATATAAATTTTCCTTTGTTAGTTTTTAAAAAGTTAATGAATGAGTAAGTTACATTTGAAGATTTGAAAGAATTAGATTTAGATACATATTAATCTTTAATGTATTTAAGTGAATATGAAAAGGATGATGTAGAGTAAAATTTTGCTTTAAATTTTTCAATAACAGAATATGACATTTGGGGATAACCATAAAATATTGATTTAATAGTAAGATTAAAATTAATTATTAGTAAAATGGATCATAAATAAATGTCACATAAAAAAATAAAAATTAATATATAAAAGCATGTACAAACTATTATTTAAATGAATCAATTAATAAAGAGTTTTAATATTTTTATAGAGGTTTTTGGAAGGTTGTGGATGGAAATGGAATAAAATTGTTAACAGGAACAGAATTGTAAACAATGATTTTAGGATAAAAGATTATAGATATGGTAGAATTAGAAAAATCTACAAAATATGATGGATTTGATAAGAATTCTGATTATATACAAACATTTTGGGCATTTATACATTCATTAGACGAATAATAAAAGAAGAAATTTTTATTCTTTTGCACAGGATCAGATAGAGTTCCTGTTGGAGGATTAAAGTCTTTGAAATTTGTTATTTAAAAACATGGTGAAGGTATAAATCAGATTTAAATATAATAGAAACTGAATAATTACCATCAGCACATACATGTTTTAATATATTTTTATTGCCTAAATATGATTCAGTTGAAAAGATGGTAACAAAATTACAGATTGCTTTAGAAAACAGTGAAGGATTTGGATTGATGTGATTGATTACATATTTATGAATTTTATAAGTTTGTGAGATTATTATTATTTTTTATTATTAATTAATAAATGAAACCAAATCAATAATTAAATACAGATGAAGATGAATTGATATCAGAGGAGCCTTGGAAAGAATACATAGAATAATTTAAAGATTTAAAACAGAAAGCTCATTCTAAAGCAGATTAAGAATTCTAACTTGTTACTAAACTTGAATAAACCTTAACTAATATTGGTAAAGGTCCTAAACTTAATCCTGATAAGTCTTAATTAATACATAAAGCTAAATGCATTTTACTTAAGCTTAAAAGAGATCTACATTTCTTTTTTGCTGATGAACATGAATTAACACTTTAATATATCACTATTTTATTTCTTTAAATATTAGAAGATTAACCATATTTATTCAATGAATTTTAATAATAGATGCTTGAAATGCTTACCTGTCTAACTTTAAAGGATTATACTTTAATACTTCTAATTAATTCAATTACATTAAAAGATTATATTAAGAAATTAACTAAAGATATATTCTTAGATGCAACATAGTATAATCCAACTAGTGAAATTCTATTTCTCTTAATTGTAATGATGATAGCCCATCTAGATTTTATTAAAAATCCAGAATTAGAATTGGTCTAATTAATTGTTAAATGTTTTTAACATTACTAAGATTAAAGGGATAAAACCTTAAGAGAAAGAGAAATCTTAGAATAAAGAAAAAAATTTGAAAAAAAAATTACAAGAAAACAAGGTTTAGAAAAGGAAGCAATGGAATTACCTCCTGAATTAAAATATATGCAAGTTCCATAAGAAACTTGTAGAATTTTAAAATTAGGATTATCACTTATTCCAAGTAACATCTGCTAAATGCCTTCATCTTATAAATATTAATAATCTGAGGAAATAATGAAAGAAACATCTTTAAATGTCTTTTTCTGCACATTAAGCTTCAAGATTAAATAAACTTTAGTATAAACAATAAAGGAGAATAAAAGGGATTTTGATGTAGTATAGATGTTAGTAGATATAGCAGGAATGCCAGAATGTTTTACATAACAAAGAGAAGCATTGAGAACTGTTAATATGTTTTTAGAGGGATTTGATGATACATTATTATGGATTAAGTTTGATTCAACAAATTTATTTGACAATAGTAATTTGAATAACGTTTAAATATATGGTGATCCAACTAAGTTAACAATAGATTAAGGATTATTTTATGATGGTTGTGGTTGTTTTTTTGATCGTAATCAGGTGCTTTAACTAGAAGAACCATTGAAAATAAATAAGAAATAAATTGCAGTATCGTTTTGGATGGTTATGTTTAATCCAGAAACTAGTAAGACAAGAGGTGCTTAAAATAATTATTAGATACGTACTTTGTTGGGTTCTAGTGATGGATTTACTTCTTTAATTGTTTCAGATTCTTATTCCTAATTATTTGGAATTACAAATATAAGTTAAGATGCATATGGATACAAGTTTTTTGAACCGAAGAATTCTGAAAAAAACTTTTCAGGTTGGAATCATGTTGTAATAATACTTGATAATGAATAAGAATCAGCATATCTATATTTGAATGGTTCTTATGAAAGTTAAATGAGTAAAGTTGTTGCATTATTTGATATATAATTTATTGGTAATAGTGGTACTCTTGATTAACCTATAGGATATGTATGTGATTTAAGAATCTATCCTAAAATCTTAAACGATTAAGAAATCAAAAGTTTATCATCATATGATAAAAAATAAGTTTTAATAAATAGTAAAAATGATTTAATAGAATAAATTCTTAGCAATAGAATTATTTTAGATTTTAAAAGATTATTAGGTTATTTTACAGGTAAGAATTCAGAAGCATTGGTATAGGCTTTGCAAATTCTTTCAAAATTATGCCAGGCCACTACCATTTTTAGATTAGAATGTGCTAAATATGGAATATTTGATTTGGCTATGTAACTCTTACCATCACCTAACTAATAAGTATCATATTATGCTGGATTATTAATTAATAATATGAAATGAAAAATAATTATTTACTAATCAATTTAATAAATCTATATTATTATTATAAGAATATTCTTAAATTATTTTATATGAAAGAAAGAATTAAATACTTGAATGATAAAAATGTGAATGTAAAAGGCAAATATGTTGCTTATTGGATATAAGCCAGTTAGAGAACAAAATATAATCATGCTCTTGAATTAGCTATATAAAAGGCAAATCAAGAACAACTACCTTTATTTTGCTTTTTCGGTCTTACCAAATACCCTGCTGCTAATTAAAGACCTTATCATTTTATGTTAGAAGGTATTTTAATATTCTTATAAAATATAGGATTGCAATAACTAAAAATTAGTCTTGCTAAAAGAAAAATTTTATTTGGAGTAGCCAAATAATCTCCAGATGATTTAGCTATTTCTATTGCTAAAAATGCTAAATTACTTATTGTTGATTGTGGCTATCTTAGAATCTAAAAATAATGGAGAAAAAAAGTAGCAGATTCTATTGATTGTTAATTTATATAAGTTGAAACTGATGTTTTAGTACCTGTTGAATAAGCAAGTGAAAAAGAGGAATGGGCAGCAAAGACAATAAGACCTAAAATTTAATCACTTATTAAGTATTTTGCTAAAGAATTAAATGAAGAAGATTTATAAAAAAAAATGGATAAATTACCTTTCTAAGAGTACGATATTTCAAACATTTAAAAATGCATAGATGATTTAGATGTTGATAAAAGTGTTTCTATTGTATAATAATTCAAAGGAGGTGAAATAGAAGCTCAAACTAGATTGCAAGAATTTCTAAATAAAAAATTAAAAAATTATGCTAAAAATAGAAATGATCCATCTCTAAATGCAACATCTAACTTATCTCCTTATTTACATTTTGGAATGATTTCTCCATTAAATATATATTTAGAGGCTATGAAATTTCCTGCATCTGATAGTCGAGATTCATTTTTAGAAGAATTAATTGTAAGGAGAGAATTATCGATGAATTTTTGCTATTATAATGACTTGTATGATAAATATGAAGGTTTGCCAACCTGGGCAAAAAATACATTATAAGAACATGCTAAAGACAAAAGAGAATATATATATACATTAGAATAATTTGAGAAGGCAAAGACACATGATGTCTATTGGAATAGTGCATAGTTTGAAGCAATTCATAAAGGTAAGATTAGTGGATATATGAGAATGTATTGGGGAAAAAAGGTAATAGAATGGACAGAATCTCCTTAATAAGCTTTTGAATATTTGGTTTATTTAAATGATAAATATCATTTAGATGGAAGAGATGCTAATGGTTATACAGGAGTAGCTTGGTGTTTTGGAAAACATGATAGACCTTGGACAGGTAGAAAGATATTTGGAAATATTAGATATATGATTGATAGTGGTTTAAAACGTAAGTTTGATACAGTTCAATATGTGACAAGTGTAAATTAGTTAAAGAAGTAATAGTAAAAATGAATTTATTAATTATATTATATAAAAATAATGAGTGATGATAATATGTAGAATTTGTTGAACAAAAAACAAACTTTTGAATCAAAATATGAAGTATGAATGTGAATTACAAAGGAAATTGTAGCATTAACATTACGAATCAATTAATTGTAAGATTCAGTCTAAAGAAATCTTGATTTGGATGACGAGCATATGACATTAATCCAATTATAGAGAGATTAGTCGTAAATATAGATCATAAACTATATTTAGTAAGAAACTATTAGAGACAATACAAACTATGATAAATGAACTTGATAAAAATGCTAAAGGTTTCGAATAAAAAAAATAAGTTAAGAATGCTAAACAATAGTTATCGAAATAAAAAGATCGATATTAATAGCTATCAAAAGAATTAAATAAATTATCATTCACTTAGACTGAGCAAATTAATAATAAAGTTTAACAACAGCATTAGAATTTTGAAAAGTAGGAATAACAATATAGTTCGGAAGCTTTAGATTTAGAACATTAAATGATCAAAGAAAGATAAGAAGACATTAATCATATTGAAAAACAATCATTAACTTTATAAAAACTAATGAATGAATTGGGATTAAAAGTTAATGATTAGGGTAGGTAAACTGTGTAATTTAAGATTAGTAACTTGATTTGATTGTTCATGATCTGTAATCAACAAAATCAAATGTCCAAAATGCTAATTAAGAGATTAGATAAGCAGCTGAAAGTTAAAAATAATCAAGATCAAAATATTATATTATGTTATTTATTGCTTCAATATTATTGTTAGGAACATTGGGGGCATTATTAATTTCTTGATTAATAAATATATATAAATAATTTATTAAAATTAAATGTAAAAATATTTTTATCTTCAAATTAAAATAAATTCTAACTCCTATGATTGTCAGTATTAAGAATCCTAATAAAGTACATAAGAAACTTTTAAAGTTGTATTAACATAAATCTAATGTTCTTAAATACACCAAAAATAATTGACTACTTTTAGTTATTAAATCTAGTTGTTCAAATGTAATTGGTAGAATTATGGAATTTCATTATGCCAATTCCATTATTATGTCCAGTCTAAAAATAGTTTTGGGTTAAAGTTCATCTAATTATATTGTAGAATTACATATATAGAACTAAAGAATTTAATATTCATTTCCAGGAGCTCCTTCAACAGTATAATTCCATAGCTCAATTTTCTCTAAAAATCTTCACTTTATTCTTTGAGCGACCTACAAAATTTCAAGGACTTAATATTTGGCTAGAAATTTATTGTTTATCTTATGTAATCGAATTACTGATAATAACTTTCACAAGTACTTTTACAATAAAATATTACTATGCTATTTACTCCTCATTATTATCATTTTTAACTCTCATAAATATTCTCTTCATAAATCATCTTTCGGTTAAGAATGATGTGTAATTAGATATCTTTTCTCATGAAATCTCGTTCAGAATTCCTGTTTATAGAAAAACAACGAAACGTTGACTTCTGTAACTATAAAGAAATTTGTATTATATTTTTAAACAATAGTTTAATCATTACAAAACGAATATAATTAATTAAATAAATATAGTTCATCGATATACAGTAATAAAATATGATAAAAAAGCTTATTATGATTTTAACCAAATACTTTAATTATGAAAAAATTAAATATTAATCATCAAAAATAATTTAAATAAAAAACTCAAAATCTTAAACAATACTTAAATTGATATTTACTACTTTTTGAGTCAATAACTCCATATATTTCATAGGTAATAGATATAACCCAATCTTTAGATTGTGTATGAATTCAAAGAAACTATATTTATGAAACTTATATAACTAAATTAATGTGTTGAATTTGTGTACACATATTTTCTTCAAATATTGATTTAAATTTCAATATAATCTTATTAACCTTAGAATGTGTATTGCATTATTCCTAAATTGATTAATCAATAATACAAACGTTAATGCTTTACTATCGTTTGACAATTAACTTAATAATAATGAATACCAAAATTTATTTATTCATCGAATGAATTCCAATCTAACTTTAAATTAGAGGAATAATTTCAATCATAAAACATTATAAATATTTATTAATTTTATTATTTTAAAATATTAACAAAAAAAAAAGAAAATCTATTGGTGTAAATTTTTTTATTAGTTGTCTCGAATGTATGAAACTCAATAAAATTAGCATAAGTCTCCTTGAAATATGAATCTCTATGCTTATTTGCATACTTGTTCATTCAAGTAACAATAAAATCTTCATTAAAAATGTGGCTTATACTTTATCATTCATTTAAAGCAGAAGATAAGTAATTTATATAGAATATGAGTAATTAACTAAAAATAGATTAATTAATTATATTAATGAATATACTATTTAAGCCTTTAAAAATGGGAGATATGCTTTTACCAAATAGAATTTGTATGGCAGCTCTAACAAGATAACGATGTGAAACAAATGACTTGATCCCAAATGATTTAATGGTTAAATACTATACTTTAAGAGCAAATGCTGGATTTATGCTAACAGAATGCGTTCCAATTTCTGAAAGAAGTTTAGCATTTCCTGGATAACCAGGAATTTATACAAAGGAATAAACATAGGGATGGAAAAAAGTTGTAGATAACGTACATTAAAAAGGAGGAAGAATAATAGCTTAAATTTGGCATTCAGGGAGAGCGTGTCATTCCTCATTTTAAAATGGTTTAAAAGTTTGGGCTCCTTCTGCTATTGCTCCTAGGAGTAAAGTAAGAAGATCATAATTATTCCATGAAATACCTCATGAGATGTCAATAGATGATATCAAATTAGTTATCTCATAATTTAAACAGGCTGCTATTAATTGTCAATAGGCAGGATTTGATGGAATTTAATTACATTGTGGTACAGGATATTTAGTAGATCAATTTCTTAGAGATAGTGCCAACAAAAGAATTGATGAATATGGAGGGAATATATAAAATAGAAGCAAATTTTGTTTAGAAGTCCTTGATGAAATTATTAAAGTTTATGGGAATGGTAGAGTTGGTGTTAAGATATCTCCTGTTGCTAGAGTTAATGACATGTGTGATTCTGATCCCCTTAAATTATTTTCTTATTTAATAAAAGAATTTGATAAAAGATAATTAGCTTTTATTGAATTAAGAGATGATAATGATATCCCTAATTACTCAAATTATGGATACCCTGGAAGCAAGGAATAAATATCAGATTTATTTTAATCTTTTAGACCTTTATTTAAAGGTGTATTGATTGGAAACATGGGTTTTACACCTGAAACAGCTACTGAGAATATAGAATTAAATAGATTCGATGCTGTAACTTTCGGAAAATTATTTATATCCAATCCAGATTTAGTTAACAGAATTTAAAAGAATTATTAATTGAATTACAAGTGGGATGAAAGCACATNTATCATTCATTTAAAGCAGAAGATAAGTAATTTATATAGAATATGAGTACAGCGGTGTTAAATTAAAAAAATAATAATTAATGGTAAATAAGCAAACGTATTGAGCATTGTTAAAATGACAATGTTGATGGAAAGTTCAAAAATTATCTATATAAAACGAGGCTTTTCTGGTGTAATTAACTAAAAATAGATTAATTAATTATATTAATGAATATACTATTTAAGCCTTTAAAAATGGGAGATATGCTTTTACCAAATAGAATTTGTATGGCAGCTCTAACAAGATAACGATGTGAAACAAATGACTTGATCCCAAATGATTTAATGGTTAAATACTATACTTTAAGAGCAAATGCTGGATTTATGCTAACAGAATGCGTTCCAATTTCTGAAAGAAGTTTAGCATTTCCTGGATAACCAGGAATTTATACAAAGGAATAAACATAGGGATGGAAAAAAGTTGTAGATAACGTACATTAAAAAGGAGGAAGAATAATAGCTTAAATTTGGCATTCAGGGAGAGCGTGTCATTCCTCATTTTAAAATGGTTTAAAAGTTTGGGCTCCTTCTGCTATTGCTCCTAGGAGTAAAGTAAGAAGATCATAATTATTCCATGAAATACCTCATGAGATGTCAATAGATGATATCAAATTAGTTATCTCATAATTTAAACAGGCTGCTATTAATTGTCAATAGGCAGGATTTGATGGAATTTAATTACATTGTGGTACAGGATATTTAGTAGATCAATTTCTTAGAGATAGTGCCAACAAAAGAATTGATGAATATGGAGGGAATATATAAAATAGAAGCAAATTTTGTTTAGAAGTCCTTGATGAAATTATTAAAGTTTATGGGAATGGTAGAGTTGGTGTTAAGATATCTCCTGTTGCTAGAGTTAATGACATGTGTGATTCTGATCCCCTTAAATTATTTTCTTATTTAATAAAAGAATTTGATAAAAGATAATTAGCTTTTATTGAATTAAGAGATGATAATGATATCCCTAATTACTCAAATTATGGATACCCTGGAAGCAAGGAATAAATATCAGATTTATTTTAATCTTTTAGACCTTTATTTAAAGGTGTATTGATTGGAAACATGGGTTTTACACCTGAAACAGCTACTGAGAATATAGAATTAAATAGATTCGATGCTGTAACTTTCGGAAAATTATTTATATCCAATCCAGATTTAGTTAACAGAATTTAAAAGAATTATTAATTGAATTACAAGTGGGATGAAAGCACATTTTATACAAAAGGAAAAAAAGGATATCTTGATTATCCCCTATTTGAAGAAAATTAAGAATGAAATTTATACATTTTTAGTAGTATACTAAGTTTATGTTATTAAATATTTATTTATAAATAATTTTTATGATCTAATCTTGAATTGTAATATAAATACACAGTATTAGCTTCAATTTTGTAATTAAAAGCCATTTCTAAAAAATGTTACAAAATTTATTTAAGAATCAATTTTTGAGATAGAAAATATTCTTTTATAAACATTTGTTTGATATTGAATTAATTTATGATCTTGGTTTTCATGTTGTTAAATCTTTTTAAGCATTTAATTTGCATACTATATTGCATTCTTACTTTTTTTAAGTATGTATATTAATTTAATTATTTAAATAAGCATTAAAATGTAATTTTTTATTTTTATTCTAAAGTAGATTGAATGTTTCATTAAATATAGTTTTTTACTTTCAAATTTTCTTGTATTAGTTTAATACTTTTGAGAGTGGAATCATATATAAATGAGATTAATATATTCACATTTCAAGCATAGTATAGTGTCTGATTTAATTATTAAATAAGATTTTACTTTTAAGAAGAGCTGTAAAACGGTATCTCTCATCTATTTTCTGCTTAGCACAAAATAAATAATTTATTTAATTTATTAACATTATTTATTAATTATTATTTGATGAGACCTATTCCATGGTTTGTGAGATTGGGCATAGATGTGAGCATATTTACAGTGCCAATCTTATTTTTAGCAAGTAAATTAAAATTTAAAACATCCAGATTATCCAAGATTGGGCACACATTTTCTAAATAACAGAAGAAGGAAGTATAGAAGAAGAAGTATATCTTAAATTTGATAGATTAGATTTTGATGAAATATAATACAGAAATGATAGTATTTTATCAAGCGAAGATGTAATCAGCTTTAGATAGAAACTTGGATTTTAAGACCTGATTTGAAAAGATCAATAAATATTAAATCAATATAATTCCTTTGAATAATGTAGATTTTAGTTTAAAAATGCAATTAAATTATTCAACATAGAATTAAAATTATTCTGACTACAGGTAATCTAAATAAGTATAAAATATACTTATATTTTGTATCTTCAATGGATTAACTTTTCTGGTTATAAAAATAATCATTATTTTGTAATGACAAAACATTAGAAATAGTAAATAAATACAAAAGTATTGTATTTTGTAAAATATTTCTTTTTAATATAACAATCATATAATTCTAACTTTTTAATTATATTAAAATTAAAATATATGTGAACCTAAAATTAATTAATTTAATTTCCAACACAAATATAAAATAACAAAGATGGCTGCATAAGTTGAATCAGCAAAGATGCTTATAAGTTTAGGATCAGCAGGATTATTTGGTCTCATTTTGATTAAGAACTGTTTCTTTACAGTTGAACCAGGACATTGTGCAATAAAATTTAGCAAATTTTTTGGTCTTTAAGAGGAAAAATACAAAGAAGGTTGGCATTTCAGAATTCCATATTTTGAAACTCCAATAGATTACAATATTTAAACAAGACCAAGATAAATAAAAGCTAGTACAGCAAACAGAGGTAATAATTGAATATATATTTAAAAGATATGCAAAATGTACTTCTCACTCTTAGAGTACTTCATAGACCATACAGTGATGAATTGCCAACCATATATAGAACATTAGGAATTGATTATGATGAAAAAGTACTTCCTTCAATTGTTAATGAAACAATGAGATCTGTTGTTGCTTAATACACGGCATCTTAATTAATGAGTTAAAGAGATTAGGTTTCATTTAAAATAAGGTAAGCCTTAGATTAAAGAGCTGCTTAATTCAAAATTGCTATTGATGATGTTTCAATCACAGAACTCACTTTTGGAAAAGAATATTTAGAAGCTATTGAAGCTAAATAAGTTGCTTAATAAGAAGCTGAAAGAGCAAAATTTGTAGTTGAATAAGCAAGAGAAGCCAAAAAAAGTATTGTTATTAAAGCTTTGGGAGAAGCTAAATCTATTGAGCTGGTAGGAAAATCTGCTTTAACTAATCCAGGTAAAATTTTTAATCTATTACAATTTAGCATTTTTGGATGTTCGAAGAATAGAATATGCAAGAGAAATTTCAGCTATATTAGCAGAATCCAGAAATCATATTATGCTACCATCTGACATTCTTAAAATGGATGCTACTGCACATAAATGAGTTTTAATCATAATATTTAATTGTAATTTTTAAGTTCTTAATTTTCAAGTTTATTTATTGTTATTGTTATTCACCAAATTTCATAAGTTCTTCTTTTTTTGCTAATATTTTTCTATATATTCATTAAAAATCATCTCTTCGGAAGTAAATTTAATTAATAGTAAGAAAATTCACAAAATAGACCTAATAACTTCTTAAATCAAATTATAATAATAATATTTCAACAAATTTGATGAATTTTAAGGATTTAATTCTTAGCTTTTTATTTTTATTTCATATTTAGAATAATTGATTTATCATATAAAAAATAAAATTAACCATAGATCCATGATTAAAACTGATATTTTCTATATTATCTTCTGGTAACAAGATTCAAATAATTCTTATTACTTTTTTAAGATAAAAATCTTATTCTTAGATTTACCAAATTTCTTTTATTTCCTTGANTTGGCATTTCAGAATTCCATATTTTGAAACTCCAATAGATTACAATATTTAAACAAGACCAAGATAAATAAAAGCTAGTACAGCAAACAGAGGTAATAATTGAATATATATTTAAAAGATATGCAAAATGTACTTCTCACTCTTAGAGTACTTCATAGACCATACAGTGATGAATTGCCAACCATATATAGAACATTAGGAATTGATTATGATGAAAAAGTACTTCCTTCAATTGTTAATGAAACAATGAGATCTGTTGTTGCTTAATACACGGCATCTTAATTAATGAGTTAAAGAGATTAGGTTTCATTTAAAATAAGGTAAGCCTTAGATTAAAGAGCTGCTTAATTCAAAATTGCTATTGATGATGTTTCAATCACAGAACTCACTTTTGGAAAAGAATATTTAGAAGCTATTGAAGCTAAATAAGTTGCTTAATAAGAAGCTGAAAGAGCAAAATTTGTAGTTGAATAAGCAAGAGAAGCCAAAAAAAGTATTGTTATTAAAGCTTTGGGAGAAGCTAAATCTATTGAGCTGGTAGGAAAATCTGCTTTAACTAATCCAGGTAAAATTTTTAATCTATTACAATTTAGCATTTTTGGATGTTCGAAGAATAGAATATGCAAGAGAAATTTCAGCTATATTAGCAGAATCCAGAAATCATATTATGCTACCATCTGACATTCTTAAAATGGATGCTACTGCACATAAATGAGTTTTAATCATAATATTTAATTGTAATTTTTAAGTTCTTAATTTTCAAGTTTATTTATTGTTATTGTTATTCACCAAATTTCATAAGTTCTTCTTTTTTTGCTAATATTTTTCTATATATTCATTAAAAATCATCTCTTCGGAAGTAAATTTAATTAATAGTAAGAAAATTCACAAAATAGACCTAATAACTTCTTAAATCAAATTATAATAATAATATTTCAACAAATTTGATGAATTTTAAGGATTTAATTCTTAGCTTTTTATTTTTATTTCATATTTAGAATAATTGATTTATCATATAAAAAATAAAATTAACCATAGATCCATGATTAAAACTGATATTTTCTATATTATCTTCTGGTAACAAGATTCAAATAATTCTTATTACTTTTTTAAGATAAAAATCTTATTCTTAGATTTACCAAATTTCTTTTATTTCCTTGATTATATGGAAAACTTTTTATTTTGATTTTTGATGTAATATTTCATATAAATTTTTGTCTTTTTCTCTTTTTTTTAAATAGCAACAATTCCGTCAAGACTTCATTCTTAAATTCTTAAATATCCTAATTTTCAAAATATTTTCTCAATAATAATCTAATATTATTCAATTAGATTTAAAAGAAAAACAGAATCTTGACATCAGATTTTCAAATAATGAAAAATTATTTGACAAAAATTAATTAGTTCATAATAAAGAAAAATTCTCTCTTAACTTTTCTAAAAAATAACATTAACAATTCTTTATTAATGAAAATTAAATGTTAATTTATTCAAAATTAAAAACTACTCCTAAACTTTATATCTAAAAAATTACAGTTTATTTATGAATAAGTTTATTAAATAAGGTACACTTATGATTAAACATAAAACTGGTATATAAATTTTATGTTATTAAATTTAATTGGAGGCTGATTTAAAATTAAAAAAAAAATTCATTTATTACTTAAATCTCAAGAATTTAGGATCATTTCTGTTGTTGAAAAAATGAGAGATATATTAATCCCAAATTGAATTAAAATGGAAAATCTTTTTAATGTATAATTAATAATAATAATTGGTTAATCAAACTACAAAAAAAGATTTTTTTATTTGAAGGTTTATCAGATATTTATGGAAAATGTATTTTAAGAAAATCAGTAGGGATTATTATTTAATAACTAATTTATAAAATTGTTGATAAGTTTTCCTTATGGATTTTTATCTAATAAAAAGTTTTGCAATCAAAAATTTTTTGAATAAAAATTACTAGTTTATGGTTTTTCTTTTCTAGTGATATAATTTTTCTTTAAAAATGATATCAAGAAAGAAATTAATAACTTATTAATAAACTCATATTGAAAATCAATCAAATTTTATTAATAATAATAATATAAATCATTAATAAAAATGCTTTTTCATCTCCTTTATATATAATAAATTTTATGATATAATATTTTTATTTTTGAAAAAATTAATCTAATTTTGCTTTATTTTTATTAAGGTTATTTCAACAAAAATATTTTGGGTAATATCTTTATTTTACCTTTTTTATAATAATAATAAATTTATATCAAAAATTGATTAATTATCTAATTAAAATATAAATGAAATATGATGTTTTCTTTTAAAGTTTAAATTAATATAAATTCATAAATAATGTATTTATGAAGATCCATAATTTAACTTGTTATTTTAAAAAAAAATTGTATACTAATAAAATTAGAGTATAAATCAAATATTTTTAACATTAATCTCCATTTCTATGCCTTCTACTGGTAAAGATGTTATGATGTCTTCAATAACAAATTTAACTTTTAATTTACAGGGAGTTTGAGGAGGAGTAATTGCAAATTTTACATACATTCCCTCATCTTTTGATAATATTAGAGAATAATTCTTTATCTAAATTAGATGTGGCATATTTGTTTTAATTTAATAAGATACTCCTTCTCTTTTAGGATTAACATAAAGTAATCTTCTATTAGTTGTAATACCACAGCCAACTTATAATGAATAATACTATAATTCAAAATAAACTTTACCTTAATTGGAAAATGCTTCCAGGCTTCTAGAAAGAATTACCATTCTTCTGATATGGTACCCAATATAATTGGCTGATTGTCATCGACTTAAGGGCATAATTACATTATAAAATAAATAAATTAAAAAAAATACAAAAGATTAGATAAAAATGAATAATAGATTGAATGGCAAACAATAAGGAAAATTAAATATTAGAAATATTATGAAAAAGAAGATAATTCTATTTTTAATATTAGATTTATAATTTATATATAACAACTAATGATAAGATCTGAAGGAATGAGCCTTTATTAATTGTTGATTCCAAGAGAATCATCTTATGATGTTATGAGTGAATTAGGCTAAATTGATAGTGTAATGATAATTGACCATCAATAGCATTTACTCTCTAAGCCTTTTATTAACTAAGTATAAAGGTATTGTTAAGTACTAATATTAGATGTGATGAAATATTGAATAAGGTAGAGTATTTACTGAATCAATTAAATCAAATAGGATAAATAATAGAACATGTATATGATTTTAAACTGATGCTGTAGGAATTTGATGTATGAAAATATTAGTAATATAGAGAGTCTTATCATTAAAGTAAATTCAAAAACATACATTTATAAATTAGATTGAAGAATATATAAATGGAAAATATTAATAAGTTTAACAATAAATTGATACCTTATCTAGATTGAAATCTAAATTATAAAATACTATTGAGGCTAAAGAGGCTATGATTAATGCAAGAAGATGGTTGGGAATAGCTTACTTTCATAGTAAATCAAGTACAGCATTGGACTTTGATGAATAAATGATTAAATCATATCACTAACATGGAGGTATGATGCCATCTTAAAAATTTACTCATTTTGTAGGAGTAATGGACGCAAAAGATTATTAAATATTTCAAAGAACAGTTTTTAGAATTACCAAAGGAAACTTTATGGTAAATGAGACTTTGTTATCTGTTTCAAGATGTTGTTTTTTATTAATTTTTCCTACATTTTCATTATAATCAGAAACATGGAGAAAAATAAAAAAACTTTGTGATGTCTTAAAAGTAGAACATATTTCATTGCCATTAACAGAAGAACAATGGGATCAAAGGTATTGTGATTATGATAAGGAAATTGTAGAAATAGAAAATATGGATAAATTGACTCATTAATTATTATCATCTATTTTAAAACCATTATTAGAAGACGGTGATACACAACCATCATTATTATTCATAAGATTCTTTTTAGTAAGAGAACGAACACTCTATGAAAATTTAAATAAAGTGAAAATGTAATAAAGTATATTTCTGGCAAATTTGTGGGTTAGATCAGGTGAAATTTTATTATTAGAAGATATTCTTTAAACTATTAAATAGAAAAATCCTCATATTCCAGCTCCTTAAATTAAAAAAAATACCATTCTCAAACATAAGCCACCAACTTTTTTTTAAACCAATTAATTTAACAAATTATTCTAATTAATTACTGAAACATATGGAATTCCTGATTATAAAGAAATTAATCCTTCTATATTTTCTATAATTACTTTTCCATTTTTATTTGGAGTTATGTTTGGAGATATTGGTCATGGAGCAGCTATTTTAGTATTTGGAATATTTCTTTCTATGAATAAAATTTTCTCTCCTCGATCTGAATAAAGAAAACTTAGAGAATAAAGGATATAATTAGGATTACAAATTTAAAAATAAACAAATTCTAAAGACTTTAATGATGAAGATTTAAATGATTTTAATTTAACTCAGATAATTTTCGATTTAAGATATATGTTGTTATTATGTGGAGCATTTTCTCTTTATACAGGATTCATCTATAATGAATTCTTTGGACTTCAATTAAACATATTTGGATCATGTTTGAATTAAAAAGATTGTACCTATCCTTTTGGTATAGATCCTTAATATGAAGAACTTGGATTTAGAAATTCTTACAAAATGAAATTAGCTATAATAATTGGTTTTAGTTAGATGTTACTCGGAATCATCTGTTCTGGATTTAATTATTTTTATTTTAAAAAATGGATAAATCTTTTTGTGATTTTTCCAGCTAGACTTTTGTTTTTTACATTATTTATTGGTTATATGGTAACTTTAATTGTACTAAAATGGTCAACGTTTTATATTGATACATCATAGGCTCCAAGCATTATTACTACATTAGTTGATATGTGGATGCATGATGGAAAGGTCACTTTAAAAACATTTGAATCAGCTGATTTTCAAAGTTCCTTACAAAAATTAATTATATTAATTTGTATAATATGTATACCTTTTCTTTTATTTGCTCCTATTATTGCAGATATTATTACTCTACTTCAAAAGAAAAAAAAGGACCCTTAAAATTTGTAAGAATTTGAATTGGTTCCTTAAAATATGAATAGTGATTCATCAAATGATGAAATTATTTCTGAATAATCATAGCATTCATCTTATATAGATATTATTGTCGAACATCTAATAGAAACCTTAGAATTTGCTTTAGGATGTATTAGCAATACTGCTAGTTATTTGAGATTATGGGCATTATCCTTAGCTCATTCTGAATTAGCTAAAGTCTTATTCGATTTAACATTAAAAGATCCACTTGCTAATGCTAATTTATTTTCTTCACTATTAGGAATGCCTGTTTTTTTATTGGCTACTTTTGGTATTTTATTATGTATGGATTCTATGGAATGTTTCTTACATGCTCTAAGGCTTCATTGGGTAGAATTTTAGAACAAATTCTATAAAGGGAATGGATATAATTTTGAAGTTTTTTCTTATAGAAAAGAAATGTAAAAATATTAAGATAAAATGAAAACTTGAAAAATGTAACATATTTTATGAATATCCTTTGTAATTATTATATATATATCATCCTTAAGTCATAAACTAGATTTCTAACCTATATAATTGATTCCCAAATATTGATACCTGTCTTTTAAATTTTCATATTAACTCTTTATATCTCATATGTGTACTTAATACAATACTTATAAAAAGCAGATAATTATAGCCAACTCATAAGATTTATATTTACGAATATCGATAATGTATATAAATCAAAAATCATAATATCTAAATAGAAAGGTTTAGATATTTCACTAATCGTAAGTCATAGCGATTTTTCTTTTTAAATGATCTTTCATCTTTTTGACAGTAAGAGATAGTTAATCCAACAGAAATTAAATGGATTAACATTATTCTATTCTCTCTAAAATGTTAATGAATTCATTTTTGCTCAAAAGTCCACTATTTTGTTATTTTCTTTTACGAATTTTTTTATTGGTTTTACAAATACCAATTTCAGATTATTTAGTACCAGTATTATCATAGTTTGAGAAGTTATAATCGAATAAACTTCCATTATTAGAAAAATTTTCAATAACAGAAGGTTCAGGGCTATGCAATCCAAATAATGATAGATGCATATTTCTGTCTGATTATAAAAGACTAAGATTATCTTCATTAGTATCGATTTCTTATTCGTACATAGTGAATATAAAATCGTTGATCTCCATTAAGAATTATTATATATGTGTATCGATTATATTAACAATATTATTTTAATCAATAAACGTTGGAAGCGTCCCCAAAAATTTAATAACTTTAGTTATCTGATTAGTTTTCATTCCATCCAGCCTTAGATAGGATCTAAAATCTAAGTTTACCATAGTTTTCAAAACTAGTTTTTTTTTTTAATATATTTTTGAGGCCATAAAATTCAAATAGCTAAATGAGATCTTAACTTTTTATTGTATTTAACAAAAACAATATCATTTTTAGATTAGCCTAGAAATTTGTAAATAATAATTTTTACATATGTGATTTTTTCACATAATAATTTTATAAAATTTTAATCATCTTTAATTTAACAAAATTCTTCTAATTATTTTATTAATATTGGATTATGAAAAATTAGTGATTCTATAAATTATAAAATACTATATTATTAATGTTTAGCAAATGCTCTCAATAACACAATCATAGGCTAATTTTAATAAAAACAAAATACTTGTGGCTTGTTTTAATAATTTTATAATAAAAAAATGATCTCCGCTAGTAAAGGTATACATTCAATATTTTCTACTTAAGATTCTAAGAGCTACACTTCACAAAACTTGAACACTTTCAAAATTTAACATTTATAGGAAGTATTTTTCATTATGTATAACTTCATTGATTTTAATATTTTGTCTGTCAATTTTATTTTTTTGCTTGTATTTCCGATTAGAAAGACTTCAAAATAATTGTTGCTTTCTTCAGAGATCTGATTTTGATCTGAATCTGGATCATAATTTTTAGATTCCTAGATTTACCTCATATGGTCTAACATAGCTTGTATTTTCATGCCTCTTTTTTATTCAAACATTTTTTCCAATAGTTCTTTTCTAAGTTTATTCCTAAAACCTTCTCTTTTAAGTTTTACAAGAGAAATGTTAGCGTATTAAGTATTATCCATATTATTTATTTATATAAATGATTTTTCTCTAAAGTAATAAATTAAGGCAAGTACAGCTGTAGAATAAACTTGGAAAATGCACTAGCAAACAAATACTCAACAATAAAAATAATGACAACATAATATCAACCCTATTATATATATTATTTTGAAATATAACTAAATATTATCACACTCGAGATCCTGTTTTTTGAACTTAGATTATAATTTGTTGTTTAACTTATACTAAAATTTCCTCTAAATTATCAATCAATGATTTCATCTATTAGAATTGTTAGATTTATTATGTTGGATTTCTTTATTTGATTTAAGAAAAGAAATCTCTGGCAGCATTTAAGATTGGATTGGTTGTTTTAGTTTATTTTTTATACTTTTTGGTTTTTTTATCTATCTTTTTAGTCATTTTGAGGATTCTCTACACAGGATCATAAGAATTATTGAGATTTTTTTCATCATCTACAGTGTCTGATTAAAACGGTAGTGAAAGTATTGAGAAATCTTCTTGAAGGTATTTCATTCTAGGAGAAGGACGTCCCAATAAGATAGGAGAAGGCAACATTATTTAATTGGAATACTCATCCCAAGTATTAAGATCTTAAACTTAATCATCTGAGAATGTGTTCTCCATTTATAAATTTTATTATTAAATATCTTATTTTTCAATTAAACATATAAACTCTGATTCTTGTTTGTATCATCATAATTAAATTACAATTTTTATCTAAGGTGATTGATAATTATTTCAAATTTTTATATATGATTATTTTTATATTTATTAAATATGAAAAACTCGAAACTCTATGCTTGTTTAAAATATTTTGGTTATAACTAAAAATCTGTTTAAATTTTTATTTAAATAAAAAAGATCAAAATTTAAGTGCCATATGATGTAAAATATGTTCAGAGAGCGGGTTATTTTATTTAAAATTCATGGCTTCTGCTTTTTAAGATAGTTCTATAAGAGGCATATTTTAGAAGTATTTATTATTGATTTTGTGTATAGGGCAAAAAGCAAGAAATTTTATGATTAAGAAATTGAAGAGAAGTAGAAAGCAGAGATATGTAAGAACTTTCTTTTCAAAGGATCATGCAAATATTCAGAGAATGTATAGATAATAATAATTAATGTTAATTTGCTCATGGAGATAATGGATTGAGAGAGAGATTACATTCAAATGAGAATTTCAAAATAAAACTATACAAAAACTATCATAAATTTGGAGCTTGTTCTTATGGATTAAAATGCTAATATTTACATTCAGAAATAAAAGACAAGATAAAATTGTGGGGTTATATTTAGAAATAATTAAAAAAGAATATAGTTCCATTTACTTTTCCCTGGGATAAGCAAGAAAAACATCTTTAATCTAAAGGATGGATATATTAAGGTTTTAAAGAGTATTTAAAGATTATCAAGAGGTAGAATAACTATCTTATTTTAAAAAACTTTGTGTATGAAGGATTTATGTTTTAATAAATAAAATAATATATGAAGAACAATTTATTGACTCATTTAATCTTTTTAAATTCTGGATTACTTTTTAAGATGGTCTGATAGAATGTATCTTATAATTTAAAAGCTTTATCTCTTAATTCCTCCATACATTTTTTAAGACACAAATTTTGTTTATGATTATCTTACGAGTAAGATTCTTTGCATTTTTATTAGCATCCTTAATCTTCAATTTCTATTTTATTGAATGATTGTTATAATTGAACTGAGTTTTATTACATTCTTTCATCGATTGTAGTGAAACATTTATAATACAATTCAGGCTATTATGAATTTTATTTGAAACAATTGATTTTTTCATCTAAAGTTTATTTCTAGTGATGAAAAAGAATAGTACTTAATAAAGATTATAATGAGGAAAATATTTGTTTCGTAAATCTGAGGTTAAATTCTTATACATCATCCTGATTTCTGTTTATTAATCGTCCATAATTAAATAAATTATTTTTATTAAAAACAATATATCATTTATTTTTAATCGGTTCTGTATTGGTTACCTAAGCATCAGGCTTTTCTGGATCTGCTTCATAAGCCCAAAATTGAAGAAGAGATTTATCAAGATATGCCTTAATTAAAACACTTAATGTGCATCCAGGTACTAAAAATAACAATGCTGGTTAAGCATGGCCTGATAAAATCATAACAGCTAAGGTAGTTACAATACCTATAGCATAACCTACAAAACACCATAAGAAATAGGTGACATTAATTTCTGAAATCTTTTTTACTTTTTCAATTTGTCTATCTACATCATATTTAAGACACATTCCAACAAATATTCCAGGAACAACTATATCCCCTAAACCTAGAATACTATATTTTGTAAATGGATTTCCTTCGTCATTTAATGCTGTAAATGGGAATTATAATTTTATTGGAGCATCTATAGATTTGGCAACTGTTACCATAACATCTGTTCCATATACCCAAAATATATCATAGAAAAAGAGTCCCCAAAGCATTAGATAAGCAATCTTTATTAATATTAAAACAATACTTTGAAATTTGGGATTACTGTAAAATTTGCTATTCCTGATACAGTAAAAGCTATACCAAATAGATTGTTACAAATCCAATTTTTTGATCCTAAATATACACCCAATGGAATCATTGAAATAAATAATGATATAAAATTTAACTTAGTTAATTTTATATCTATGTCTTTGCTTGTCAATATCAGATTTAAGTTAATCTTTTTATCTATCACGATTTTAGTAGAATATTCTATTGGGAATAATCTTTCAATGGCATCTTCGATAATTCCCATCAAACATAAGACCTTTAATTTTATTGGATTTCATTACTCCTACTGCTGAGAAAAATAAAGTTATGGCTGTTTTGAGAATTGCTTCATCTAAATATTTTAACAATAGATAAAGTCCAAATAAATAGGCAGATAAATATATTGGAAATTGTAATGCATCTTTTTAGGTCATTTTTTCATCTGACTATTTCTCCTCTTTTTCTAGCTTGTTATCTTCATTAATTAAATTTATACATTTGTTATATTTTATTTTAGATGTTGCCATTGATCCAATATAGAGACAAGCCAATGATTAAACAACTAATTAAACACCAGCAGGCACCTCTGTAATTAGTGTTAATACGTGAATTAACACTAAACTAGCCAATGACAAGTAAACGTATTATGGTCTTAAGAAATGTGTTAAAGGTTTGAACTCTTAAGTAGGAGCCATTTTTTTACACGTATTAAAAATAATTTTATTATATGCTTACAAAATAATTGCAATTATTGAGGAGTGTTACATTCTTTTCAAGATTTCAAGGAGGTTTAGCTAGCGAAATTTATGTTAGAAAATCACACAAATTCTTACATTCTATCTATAAAAAAGAATCTCCTATTGAAAATGCATAATAAATTGTAAAAGACTTTAAATTAACCTTGGGATAAAGGTATGGTTTCTATATCTAAATAATAAAGATATTAACATGGATTTGTACCTGAAGAAATGAAAGAAGCATCTCCTTTAGTTTAAAAAGCTTTTAGTCTTAACAATGCAACAGATAGCTAAATAGTTGCATATCGAATTTAATAAGCAATTAAAAAATATTAAAAATGGCCCTTAGATACTGCCAGTTCATTAGTCAAAGCAGCTGTTTTGAATGAAAGAGTCATTTCGTTGATGAATCATATGGAAAAGAATAGATAAGATAAATATTGTGCACTTACACTCACAAAATTATTATCTGCTAGAAGAAAAGCTATGTATTATTTGAGAATACACGATTATTAAGGATTTCTTTGGTTAGTTGCTGATTATGGTTTAAAAGATCTTAGATATCATAATCATAATTACTTAAGACATAAGCATATTGCTGCAACAAAAAAAAAAAGATATACAAGAAAAGACACAAACAAAACTAGATGGGCATTATGAGATATAAATATTAGTAAATTATACAATTAAATAACAATAAAATATTTTATACTTTTTTTTTTTAAATTACATATATTTTTCAATTAGAATTCTAAGCATTATTATTATTTTTGAATTCAACAAATTGTCTTTTTTGAATATATTAATTTTATGTCTTGTAAAATTTCTCTTTTACAATCAGTTAATTTTCTTTCACAATTATCTCAGCAGTTATTATCAGCTATTCAATATCCCCACGGAAAGTTGTAGAATCTAAATCTTCCATAAATATTTAAAATTCCCTCTTTCCTTTTTATCCAAATAGCATCGGCTTATTTATAGTTTTTGCTATAATCCATTTTGATCCATATATTGGATCCTCTTCTTATAAGATATTGCATTAAGGTCCTGAAAAATACTATATAAGAATGGGCTTAGTTCTAACAATATATAAACCATCACTCTAGTCTATATCATATCTGATATCTAACTTCTACCATTAGAATCGCAGATTATCTATTTAAATAGTCAATTTATAAGCATAATGTTAATATACATTTACTATAGGCTAATTATAACAATTCTATTTATTGCCATAATCTCCAGGTAAAAAGATATATTAAAATATTTCTTTATTAGAAGTTAAAACTATCATATAAGGCCATGGAATGAATGTTCCCTTGGCAAATAAAATCTCTTTTTATAATGTATATGAATGGAATTCAGTCTAATTCACTTTAACTATCTCTATTATGTTGCAAATTTATGAATCACTAATTTAATTTATTTTATGTTACTTTTCAAACTCTCCACCAACTATCATAAAATCTGTATCTGAAATAGGCGAATTCTAAATAACACATGGAACTATTCTATTTTTTACTTATTCTGATATTTTATTTTAATCTTATTAAATAATTGATTAGCTTTGAAATTTTGAATTCTATTGGTTAATAATATTATTGGATCTCTTTAGCATATTAATTTAAGGATCGTCAAATAATTAAATCTACAAAATTATATTACTATTTAAAGAATGGATATAAATTATTCTTATCTCAATTTCACTTTCTTTGTTACTGATTTTCTACATTTTCACTGATAAACTGGCCTTCTTATGAGAATCAATTAATAAAACATCATCAAAATATCGATTTAAAACTATTCTCTAGCTGATTACTTTATTTTAATAATTAAATACCATTCAATATTATTTTAACAATCCTTAATATCACTCCAATATAAATAATACTAATTTTTTTTCTATTCATCTTATTATAATAAAACCACCAATTTGCAAGTATAATCAATATGTAAAATTGAATTAAACAGAAATTATAATTGTTCCTAATTATAATACAAATAGAAAAAAGTATTATAGCTTAAAATCATCAAAGGTGATTATTTTAAAAATTAATCAGGCTGTGTGGACAAATTCATAGATCGAATATTTCTTAATTCTCTTTGATACATATTTAAGAACAATGGATCCATTTTCATTTAATATTAGATTTTGACAAATTCCTCTAACCATTTTATAAATACATTTCGATCCTAATTTTTATAAGCATCTAACTCAAAATTTTTTTTTGATTTAATCTAATTACCTATAACTCCTTACTAGATACAATTTAAAAATCTAAAAAAGTCTTAATCTTAATTATAATTAAATTAAGTCATTTCAATTTAATTTTCAAATGTTGAGTTTAGAATCTACAAATGGATAAATAAATTATCTGAAGATAATGTACAGAATTTCTCAATCATTCGTCTTATGCATTCATCTTCAAATCGTATATATCTTTCTTAAGACTATATATTAATTAAAAATAAACATCTTTATTGAGTGATTTTGCGATTGATAATATACAGAAGTTGAAATTAGACTTCTTGATTAGTTTCTTTATTTATAGTTTATAAATCAGCTTAAATTATTCCCATGATATCACTAGATCTTCTTTCAAGTTCAAATATATATTGATGAAATTCTTATTATATATTTAGCTAAATATCTATTCGCTATAGTTTTTTTCTTTTTCAAACACTTAGAAATTGATATATAAATAGTTAAGCTAACTTTAAAATTGTGCTTAGTAACTATAATCACAATTTTCAATGCCTGTTAAATTAATAAACAACATTTTTTTATCTAAATAAAATTATAAAAAAACTTGATTCTTGAATATTTATTTAGCAAGCTGCCTGAAAACAATCATTAACCTTTTTGATTTAATCATTGAGTTATAAATCTAGTATTAATATATTCTGCAACTATTGTTTTAATTACTAAATATTATTTGAATTATACTAATTGTTTGATCTCTTAAATTTTTGAAAAAAGTTTGTCATTAAACAATTCTGAAAAACTATTTGATGTTAAATTTGCATTTATATCTTATGAAAAATCCTTCTTGAGATAGATATTTTTGATAGGGCGTAAACTAACAATTTTTAACCCCTTTCCTGCTGATATTTCTATCTAATTTTGCATATTTTCAAGCAGGTTTGTTAGACTATTGATGATTTAAGGTCTGAAATTTTATTATTTATCAGGTATGACCATTGCTAATCCATATGCATTGTTATCAAATAAGTTTACAATGTTCTCTATATTTGGGCATTGCTATAATTAAAATAATTATATATATACTTCTTATTAATAAGATTATTTTGACTTGTCTGGTTTCATTCAAAATGTATTTAATTTTATTATAAAGTATTCTTATCGAGCAACAAAAGCCCATGATAGCTAAAGAACGCATTAAAAAATATATAAAGATTTAATGATGGATGATTTTTTGAATAAAAATATCATGTTAATTCAAAGTTGAATAAGAAAATTTTAAATATTAAACAGAGAATCAGACTGATTTATATAGAGATTTTCAAAGTTTGATTTAATTTTGGCATGTCAAGAATGTAATTAAAATGAAGATGATTTGCTTTTGAGAGGATTGGATTTTTTCATCTTGATGAAGTTGAAAAATATTAAAATTTTGGAGCTGTTTTTAGTAAGGCTTTCAATTTATTTTTAAGTTGGAAGAGAAATATGTATTTTATTCAAATTATGTCATTATAAAAATCTAGCATATATATAATTGAAAATACTTTAGGAAGTTTGCATTTTTTTGCTTTTTTTAGAAAATTTCTATTAGATGTATGTAATTAATATATAGCAATAAATAAATGTGATGATTGACAATTTTCTAAACAATAGAATAAAATGATATTCTACTTGCCTTGTGTTGATTTTTTTTTTTTTTAATCATTTAAGTTTAATTAATTACTTCATAGATTAATTAGAATTTAAAACTATGTAGACTTAATCTTTTGCATAAATTTGTCTCTTTAGTTTCATATATTTAAAATAACAAGATTCATTTGTTTTTATTTGAATGATTTATTATTAAGTGAACAATAATTAATAGATGAGCATTAAAATCCAACACAAATAATTTATATAGAATAATGTAATCCTAAAAGTCTAAAGCTAAATAAATATTTTTAAGTTTGAGATTTATTTGAAACTTCTAATTGTTATAATTGAGGTAGGCTATTCCTCTAAAAGTTTATGTAATACCTAAATATAATAAATCTGGTCTTTAATTGAAAATGAAAGAGATTTCACTTTTAATGTTTCATAAAATAAATTTTCATTCTTTAGTTATATTTCTTTTAATTCTTATGGTAAATTGATCTATTAGGACTAATTATAAATTTTTTATTTAAGAAATATTCAACATTTATGTAATTTTTCTTTATCACATTATTTATTTTATTTGAATACTAAAAAATTTTTTATTATAAATAATTTAATATATCATAAAAACTAAGAAAATAATATCGATTTCTATGAATTAAGATGCCGATAATATTCTGCATTTTTACCAATAATAAAGTTTTAAATATCTCATTTTTTTTTGGAGTATTATATATGTGTATTAGTGTTTCATGTACATAACAAGAAATTTAGAAGAAAAGGATTACTTAAATAAAATAGTATATGATAAAATGATATGGAATAATTTTAAAAATTTTTCAAGTAATAGTGAGAAGAATAGTGATTTAATTAATAAAAGAGATAAAGTTTGATGATTAAATATAAATATATATATATAAATTTAATATAAATAATAAATTTTGTTAACATATTTTATATTATCAAATGACAGAGGCTGCGAATCCAGAAAGGATATTAAATTAAAGAACTCGAATGATTGGGAATTATGTGATAGGTGATGATTTATTGATTCAGCAGAATAGGGAAAACCTTGGGGTTTGGGACGTTTGGGAAAGTGAAGATGGGTACACATGAATAATCTGGTGAGAAAGTTGCAATAAAAATATTGGAGAAAGATAGAATAGTAGAGACAGCTGATGTAGAGAGAGTATAGAGAGAGATACATATTTTGAAATTAGTTCGACATCCACACATAATTTAGTTATATGAAGTATAGAAAATAGATAAATTATAATATAGATAATTGAAACTCCTAAGCATATATTTTTAGTAATGGAAATGGTAAGTGGAGGAGAACTATTTGATTATATAGTAAAAAATACAAAGTAATGAAATAAATAAAATTAGATTGGAAGAGGTGGAAGCTTGTAAATTATTTTAAGAACTTATAGCAGGGATAGAATATTTGCATAAAATTAGAGTGGTACATAGAGATTTGAAACCAGAAAATTTATTACTTGATAAGAGTAAGAATCTAAAAATAGTTGATTTTGGTTTATCTAATACATATAAGAATGAAGAATTATTAAAGACAGCATGTGGAAGTCCTTGTTATGCTGCTCCTGAAGTATATAAGTTAAAATATAATAATAGATGATAGCAGGATAGAAATATTAAGGTTTAAGAGTTGATTTATGGAGTTCAGGAGTAATATTATTTGCATGTTTATGTGGTTATTTACCTTTTGAAGATTAAAATACATCTGCTTTATATAAGAAAATATTGAGTGGCACATATTAATTACCATCTCATTTATCAAAAGATGCATAATCAATGATCTCTGGAATTTTAACTGTAGATCCAGAAAAGAGACTTACTATTGAAAATATTCATAATCATCCTTGGTTTTAAATATATCGAAGATCATATGAAATTCCACCAGGAATAGTTGTAGGATATAATAGAATTCCAATTGATTAAGATATTTTAAAATAATTAAAATCTTTTGGAATTGATATTGATTATGCTTAAAAATGTTTAGATGCTAATAAACATAATGATGTTACAACATTTTATCATTTATTATTAAAGAGGCATTTAGCTAATGGAGGTAGATCTACTGCTGATCTCAATTCTGAATCTTTTGATATTAAATTACTTGAACCTAAATAAAGGCCAAGCAAAGGTAAGAATCCTTATATTTATCTATAGCTCCAATCACTTCAATAGTTAATAATGAAATCATCAAATAATAAATGAAAGAAGAAATTATTAAATAGAGATCCTATTCTACTGACAAAGATAGAGGTAGAATTATTAAAACTACAGATTAAAATAATAAAATTTTAGCTGATAATGATTAAAGTGTTAATCGTATTGGACGAAATGGATAAGCATCAAGTGTTTAAGCTAGATAAAAAGATGAAAATTATTTAGATTAATCTCCTATGCTTAAAAAAAGTAACAAATTACATAGTATTTATGGAAATAAAAATAAAACTACTAACATTACCTCCACTGAATATAGAAATAAAGAAGAAACTAAAAAACCAAGTTCAAGAAATAAAAAAGATTTAGATTTATCTAACCCACATAGAAATACTAATCGAGAATTTTTATAAATTAATAAAAATTTTTAAAATGCAGGAAGATCTCAAAATCATAAGAAGGAAAGAGTTTATGTCACTAATTAAAATAACTAATCATTTGATGTACCTTTGAATTCCAATTAGTCGGTTAAATAAAAAATATATCAAATTTAAAAATTTGGATATTATGAATGATATAATTCACATCATTTTATTTCGAATTTTTTTACAATTCATAAACAGTTTCTCGCTTATTTCATTATCAATTCATCTTAATTAATATCCATATCTAATTTTTAATTTTCTTCAAACAATAAAATAATTATTACGATAGAACATATAATAATTAAAATTTTCTTTAAGAAATTCAACCTCCCAAAGATTTCTCCCAATAATCAACCTTTAAATTATCTTATCCCCTTTAGTAAACCTTCAAGGATATAATATTAAAATTTTGTTTCATTTTTTAATTCTAAAAGTTTAATTTTATAAATACAGCCTATATGATATGAAATTTAAAGATATTAATAATAATAATTGTCATGCTAGAAAATAAATTTTTTTCATAGGGATTTTAATAAATTATATTTGTAGAGCTATTTAATTAAGCTAATTAATTTATAAATTATTAGTAAAGAAACTTAATATATACTCTTTAATATTCAATGATCATATTATTAGCTTTATTTTAGATAAAGATA